ACTTGGTCCCAATGTAATTTCCCATTGGGAACCTACTAGCACTAAGTTGCTAACTGCTTAGCAAGATGCTTCCCACACACCGTCCACAACAAAACTTGCTTGCAAACCTTCCGCCACAACAATCCCGCCCCCTTGATAAACAGCCAATCACATTCACTTTATTCACTCGTGTAAAGTCGTGCACCAACGGACGTTTCCTTACGACTTTAAATCAGTCCAGGACCTTAAAATCTTTTAATTTTCAACCTCTCCTTGGTGGATTTACTGATATATTTTAAGTTCATTTCATTTTTTTGCAGATGGTCTAACATTATCCTGGAATCTGATACACAGCAAAAAAATTAGCTGGTCAGGTCTGCCTGCTGAAAGGCATCCCCAAACCGTCATAGTTCCTCCTCTGTGCTTTATGTGATGCGTGCCAAACTTGGTTCTGTTCTGCTGTATGGGTAATTCAGATTTAGATCGATTTAGTCCTCAAATTTTAGTCTTGAAATCCTGCTGTTTGTTTACGTCGCGCTTCCAGTTCTTAGTCTGGCCTAGAAGATTTTCTTTCTGTTGTTTTTAAATAGCGACCTTTATTTTAAAGTTGTGCTTATAAGAGACGGGGTGGAGAGAAAGAGAGAGAGGGACTAGAACTCAAAGTCTGGTACCTCTTCCCTGCCATTCTGTAATCCTCAGGACTTCTTTTTTAGAGAAGGTTACCTCCTCTTACCCCTCCCCAATGCAGTCGCTTTCTGGTTGATCAAACCTGGATTTTTGTATAAACAGGAAAAAACAGCTGTACGTCCCTTTCAGGTCTTAGGTGACTTCTTTTCAGTTCTTTGAATGTTCTTCACTCCTGTTTCCTATGAAGTAGATTGTCTGTCTAATTAGAAAACTAATTTGGGAGGAGAAATAAGCTACAATCTTCCCACTGAAGGCTTATCCCATCTTGTCCTAACTTATTCCTTATTACCTTAATTGTATTTAATGAATTTTAATATAAACTTGAAAGTGTTTATTGTGTCTATTGTTTATTTGTTAGAAATGTTACGTATCCTTACATCCAAAGGGATAAACTCCACGGTCCTATTTTATTTGTTTTCACTCGTTATCACTTAATAAATTCAGCTACTGCCAGAATATTTTAAGATTAATCCTTTTCTTTTTTTAATAACCCAGAGCCTGGCTAAGATGACTGTTAACCTCCAAAGCAACCTGACCATCAGCGATGCAGCCAGCGAGGCGGCTAACAGCACCGCAGCCGCTGGCGACCCGTGCAACCAGCAGCAGTACTGCGACACCGGCTGTCAGACGGACATCATGGGAGAGGTGAGAGGCCGCGCTGCTCTCCCAAATGATCCGATTCTCACGGAGATTATCTGCATGTCTGAGTGACTACCTGTAAACATGAGGATCACGTTATCTGAGCCGTGAAGGTTGACGTTTAATCTGCTTTGCTTCTTTCTAAAGTACGTTTCCCAGGAGTCTTCGCATTTGGTGGACAAAGTCAAACTGAACTGGCAGTACGAGGAAGCCAAGAAAAAGTAAGTCAGTCCAGCTGTTTGTTTCGTCATTAGTGCCAGCATGACACAGAAGCATGCAGCTCTGAATCATCGGTCTCAGCAGCAACCCCCCCCCCCTTCCACCACACACACATATTGGGCCCCGAGTGCTGCCCCCAGGAGGGGAGGGAGGGTGTGTTATGAATAGCGTTTGGGCCCATTGGCCGGCGGCTGCTGAGGGATGTCTGGCCAGCAGAAAGAGCTGGGTGGTCACATTCTTCGCTGGCCGTGCTGCTGCTGACTGTGTGCTGCCTTTGTGTGCTCGACCAGAGTAGGACTGCCCACCGCCTGCCACAGTGCACCGCCTGATCCTTCATAGGCTGGCCTAAAACACAAACCATGCATTTAAAGAAATCATTAGACTGATGAAATTCTGGTGCAAAACGTAAGAACGAGGCGTGCTTTCTAATCTCTGACCCGTTCCTGCTTAGGTCGACAGAATCACAGCTTGAAGGGATTACAGTGTAATGATAGGGAAAAAATACTGTATTATTACCCTGGCTCAATCATAATCATTTTTACTAGATTCATGTTGCTGTGGGGGCGATGTCAGAAAGTCAGAGCTGTAAGAAGGGGCGACTTGTGGAAACTTGCATGATCTGTCGCTGAGTCACACTTTCTGAAACCCAGCTCATATAAAGCTAGTTATTTGATCAGAGCTGAGAGTGCATTTTCCCTGAGATCTAGTCAAGGTCTGAGCAACGCTCCCAGTAGCGTCCATCTGCAGGAGCAGGGGCTGATGCAGCAGGTCGCTCAGTCTGGCAGCATGGAGACGGTCTGCTGTCAACTTCCTCTTGTTGCCATAAATACTTGGTCAGAGTAAACACAGCCGCTAGCATTAACCTAGCACTGAGTAAATAAGCACAAGGTGCTATTTAGGAATGATTTTATTTTCCTTAATAATATTCATTAGAAGCTGAACAGCTAATTTGGTTATAAAACTATTTAAAAGTGTGATTTTTTTTAACCATTTTTTATGTCTGGTTTAGTTTAGATCAGGGGCCGGCGACCCAAAATGTTCAAAAAGCCATATTGGACCAAAAAAAAAAAAAAACAGATCTGTCTGGATCCACACAAATTTAAAAGTCATATATATGCCTCCTAAGGGCTCTTAGTGTATATTAGAGACTGACACAGGAGTGGATTTTCACCCACTCTCACATAAAAAAATGGTGTCCCGTCCCGATCCCGGGCCAGAGTAGAAATCTAAATCCTCTCCCGTCCCACTCCTGGTGAAATTACTCCCACTCCCATCCCGCTCCCATTCAGAATGACTCCTGCTCCTGCATCACTCCCATTCTTGTTGTCTTCAATAAGATTTCTGCCAATACATTGAAGTTAAGTTCCTGTTTCTAACTGTAGTAAAGGTCAGTTAAAGTAAAAGGAATAATAATTATAAATGGTTTTTGGGTCGTAGAGTTTTTTTGACTCGCATTATAGTGTAGGCTTCAAGGAAAAAAAGTACAAAATGGCGGCGCCAGTACTGGATTTTTTTCTTTCTATTTTATTTTATTTTTTGGCATCGATCCTAGTTTTTTTTAGTTACTATTGGTTTGCTCCCGCTCCCGTCTGCTCCCGTTAATGTTTAATCTTGTACCATCCCAATCACGTGATCGTTACTAATACTGACTCCCATCCCACGGGAATCCCGTGACCTGTGGGATTCCCGAAAAAATGTCAGTCTCTAGTGTATATCAGCCCACTATCCTGGAGAAAATGACACCATGTGACTAATCTGCTATATGATATTTGTTGCTTTAAGTTTAGCTTCCTTTACAGTATTAATGTATTCCGTTTTCTGGCATCGATAGAATTATAGAAATACAATTTAAAAAATCAGATTGTTGATGTTATTTTTATTTTGAGAATTTGAAAAAATATGAAATATGCATAATAGGACTCAGTCCTCTGCAAATTACAGAAACAGAAACAACCAATACAAACCAATACAACCAATACCCTCTTTATCCCCCTTTATCAGGGCAACAGTGCAACAGCAGTCTTTTGATAATTAAGTAGGCTATGTAAAGGAAAATAAGCCAGTATATTTTAAATACAACTGATTTGTTTACAACAGCCACTTGCCTGGCACCGTGCTGCACTGAAACATGTCGCAGGCTATAATGCAAAGCTTTGATGATTGAAATGTTTACATTTATTGTTTAAATGTATTCGTCATACAAAGTTTTACAGCATTGTAAAACATAAAGAATGTTTTTTTTATCCTTCTTAAACACTTTATTTAAACAAACAAACAAAAAAAATTATTTATTTCCATTTTCATACATTTTGAAAAAGCTCCAGTGAGCCTCAAGGAGGCGCTAAAGATCAGCAGGTTGCTGATCCCAGGTTTAGATAAAGAACAAAAATCACTTCTTTTTTCGTTTTTTGATAATTTCGATTTTCGTTTTTTTTTTAAATCATCAAACTTTTGCTTTTTTCTAATCAAACCTGCACAAAATCAATGATACGTCAGGATTTCCCCCCATGTTTGTTTTAAGATCTCCTCCTTGGCTTCAGCATTTGATCTTTGTAACTCAGTGTTTTGGTTTCAACATGGGTGCCTGACAGATTAGTTTGTTTCCTCAACTCATGGGGTTGGAGAAGTGAAATAAAAGAGGAATATTTTTTTGCTGTCCTGTTAGGGTGCAAAGCATACAGCACCAACTCGCTCAGCTGGACGGTGAGAGTTGGTCGGGGCGCGCCGAAGCGGACCGCGACAGGGACTTCATGCAGCTCCTGCGTGAGAAGGAGGCCCTTCTGCAGGAGCTCATCCTGGTCAGCAAGCAGTCGCACTCACCAGACACGCAGCAGCAGCTGGAGGAGGAGCGCTGCAGGCTGGAGGAGGAAATACAGAGAGCCCACAGCTCTCAGAGCCAGGGAGCCAATCAGAGGTGAGAACAAGGATGGTGCAAGGTTAGAGAGTCCTTCAAAGCACATAGCACCCGGTGGGGATGCAAGTGACCAAATGATCCCAAACAGACTCAGGTTCTCATTTCATCTGTTGAGCTTTGAATTTCTGATGCATCAGCAAGTTTCTCCTGACAGGTTGCTTCTTCAGGAGAAGAGGAATGTGCTGCTCAGGCAGCTGCAGGAGGCCACGCGCATCACCACCTACCTTCATTCCCAGCTGAAAAGGTGCGGCGCCCTCTAAAGGCATGGGGCACATGATCCGGTTCCCTTTGCATCATTTGTTTTAACTGTGGATTTCCTTCATTCAAGATGTTAGCCTCTATTCTGATCCTCTGCATGGAAACTTTTGAGCTGCAGATGTGAACGCTGCATGGATTTCAATAGGAAGTAGCAGATATGTTTTGGTGAATGAAAACAAAAACGTCTGAGGGTTTCATATATGAGCAGTTTCTATGAGAAGTGGACTAAAAATCAGAGGAATAATGTCCAAAGGTAGATTGTTGCGAGTCTGCATCCTGTTCGAACATGTTTGAAATCTCGATGGAGAAGCAGAATTAAAGCAGATAACAGGAAGGCTGAACATAACTTACCTGTTATCTTTCCTTTGGAGGTTGGATTAGGAAATATTAGCAGCCTTTTAAATCTCTCTACAGCAGGGGTGTCAAAGTGGTTCCAGAACGGGCCGTGTGGCTGCAGGTTTCCTTCGAATGAGAGAGTGAGTCCAATCTGAACATGATGACTTGATGAGATGACTGGAGTCTGGTGTTCTATTGCTTGGTTGGAATAAAAAACTTGCAGCCACACGTCCATTTCTGGAACTACTTTGACACCCCTGCTCTACAGGATACTTAGTAGCAGTGCTATCTGTGCTAACCGGGCTAATGCTAATAGAGGATGCAATGCATTTTCATAAAGAGGCTTGTGATTATACATGGAAATCATAATTTTAGGTGAATTGGTTGAATGTTGTTTATGATTGTTAATCTGCAGATAAACATTTGGGGTTAGTTGGTGCTTGTTTACATTTTTAAATATACTTGTTTATGTCGCTTGTTTACTTAATAATTCTAGCTGATTGGTGATGTCATCAGCTTCTAAACACAGGAAGCAGGATTTTTTTGTTCCGCTTCTCTGAGGTTTTGTGGTATAAATCCATGCTTTATCGCCGTCCTGTGGTTTTATTGTGGTTGATCATGGTGTCTTTGCTTTCTGTCGTCCGTCCCCAGCCTGTCCGCCAGCTCTCTGACCGTCTCCTCCAGCAGCAGCCGCGGCTCTCTGGCCTCAAGCCGGGGCTCCCTGGCATCCAGCCGAGGCTCCCTCAGCTCCATCAGTTTCAGCGACATCTACGGAGTCCCTCAGTACGAGCGCCACGACGGGCCGGCGGAGCCTCTCGACCCCCACGTCCGTTACCTGCTCCCCCCGGAGAGCATGTCCAGAGACTGCTCTGTTTTCAGCCCCGACCACCTGACTCAGAACAAAAGCAAACGGTCCCACGACACCCCGCAGTCCCTGGCCTCCCTCTCCTCCCGCTCCTCGCTCTCGTCCCTGTCACCTCCCAGCTCACCCATGGAGACGCCTTACCACTCCGCCCCGCAGGACTGCCCCCTCACCCTGATGACGGAGGAGTACATGGAGCAGGCGGGGCGTGGCCTGTTGGAGGGGCTGCGGGCACAGTCCCAACCCTTATCGCACGGCGTCGTGATGAGCAGCGAGGACGTGGTGAGTCCTGCCGCTCTGCATCAGCTGGATAACAAGATCCAGAGAGACGGCGGCGCTCAGACAGCCTTCACTTCCACAGGTGAGTGGAGAGCAGTCCGATTAAGATTAAAAACCACCTGTGAGGCATTAAAAATCAGAGCTTTCTATTGACAGGCGTGACTCTGAGGGGAAACAGCGCCAACCGGAGCGGCAGGAGAGCCAGGAGAGTCTCTGCAGGGGTTTCTGAGGACGCTTTGGCCACGGACAGCGGCGTGTTTGAGGCCTGGGGCAAAAAGTTACCTACAACAATATACATTTTATCATTTTCTTTGTAAAAATGCATCATATAATCCTAAATAAATTAAAATTACTCATATCCTGAATAGAGATCAGTGGATACAGACATATTGAGGCTGATAAAGATGATTTTTCGCATCAGTTTAAGAAATCCCTGATATGTGCTGCTAGTTTTTATGGGACCAAACTTTTTCTTTTGCCACTTAGATAATAAAATTATAAAAAGTTTATTACTAGTTTATTTGGCACGGACAATGTACAAAATACATTCATCTTTCATGTCAAAAAGCTTCGTAGCAGAATTAGCTATTGCTAATTTCCATCTGCAGGTTTTATATAATTAAAATACAAACTAACTTGTTAAAATGACATTTAAAATATTATACATTATGATTAACATTTCTTAGTTAAAAAGCGCTGATGGTTTATAGAAAAATCACAACACTTCCATTTATAGAACTTAAACATTTTTTACCTGGATCGATTCAGACAGTAGATTCACAAAAAAGTATTTTTTATTTTTTAGGTTTTTTTAAAAGTTATGAAGTCAGCAAACAACCTCAGAAAGACTGGAAGCTGATTTCACTGTTTGATGGCTTTATATGAAAAGGCTGTCTGTGCAAAGACAGAGGAATGTTTTTGGGGATGGGATGAAATGTTAGAGACAAATTTCAATTCAATAAAGAAAAATCATCCATGAACTATTCACCCAAAAAAGCACTAGTATTAGTAAAAAAAAATGTTGCTCTACCTCTAATATCTTTTTCTTTTGGCTCTAAAGGGCAGAAGAGTATGATGAGCTTTCAAAGGATCTGCCTTCTGCAAGCGAGTCCACTCAGATCCAACTCGGACTGCTGTGAGTAGATCAGTGGATCGCTCTCTGACTGGTTAGAGGATCGGATCGGTTCCCCCGGATGACCTTTTTTTTTCCTGCATTTTTTCAGGTGGGAATCTGCTTCTCAGTCTCTGCGACTGCACGTGCTGCAGCTGAAGAATCTCAACTGTTCCAATGTGAGAGAAAGCTATAAAGTGTGAGTATTTTCAGCACTTATGATTAATTCATAATTTATTTTAAAAATTATGAATAACGTTTTTTTTTGTTTGTTTCAACATTGAAACAAACATCTTTGTGTTTTATTGCGTCATGTAAGAAAAAAAAAAACAGGGGTGCTAATGAAAAACAACATCATTTACAAGTGAGAGATTTTCTAAAAATGTTTCAGAAAAATTGTGCATACCAGCTTAAGTTCTTCAGAAAATAAAGAGATCACAGGATCGCAATGTTTCACGTATGTATATATATATATATATATACATA